AGTATAATTTATTCAGATATATTATTCAGTACTTCTCATTTGAAAAATGTTCTGAAATTTATTCAACTGGCGGCCGACGCTTGACCGCACTCAGCACCATCATTCCCATTTTTTTTTCTTTTTCATTTTTTATTTATATTATTAACTCTTTAAGAATAATTACTAATTTAAGAATAATTTAAGAATAATCTCTCTATATAAATAAAAAAATAAGGCGAAAAATTCAGGGGACGCTGGGTGCTTATACGGGGGTCCCTATATAGGGAGGTACCTGTATTTATAAGGGATGTCTATATGAGGAGGTGGTCATAAAGGGGATATCAATATTTATGGATAATTACTATATTAGGAGGTGCTCATATGGAAAATATTTATGGGTACGGTCGCACCGTTGCGGTCACACGGATGGGGGGGAGCGAGCGAAGCGAGCGAGGCGGGGCGACGCCCCCCCCCCCCCCNTGGCGAGCGGAGCGAGCAGGGGGCAAAGTCCCCTAGTATGAGAATAATTTAAGAATAATTCTAATTACTCTGTCTGTCTTCGAATGAGAGGAAATGGGGGATCGGAGCGATACGCGAATCGATCGCAGATAAGATTAGACTGAACTACTTTAAAGAGTCACATCAGACGAGAGTCTTACGTTGCCATCGTCATCCTGGATTGTAATCGTCCTGGCGTCGATTGCGGTGATCTTCCCCCCCAGGAGAACACTGAACTCGGTGTTTGATGGGTCATTGATCCAGACATTATCCCCCTGGAGCATAACATCGCAGGAAATGATAGACAGAAGAGTTATTGGTGTGAACGATGAGTTGAAGCAATTAAAATGGCTTTGAACTATTTCAGAAATAACATTTTAAACAAATAAAACTTTATTTGAAAGTTTTCTATTCATTTAAATGAAAATTAACAATATAAAAACATTATAATGCATGAGATGAATAATTCGTCCGTCGCAAATAAAAATCGTTAGACGTTAATAAATTCGTTCTTTCACCGTTTCAACAACGATTTCATTCCTAATACTTAAAATCTTTATTCGGATCGACAAAACATTTGTTTATATCGAGAATAAATAAAATAAAATACTATTTGACGGCCCGTCCCGTCGATCTAAGGAGCATCTACATCGAAATATATGAGGTGAAGAATCTTAAAGAGCGCATGGAAATGAATTGTTAATTTCACCGATAAATGTGTCTGGTACTCACAGGGGCGAATTTATTCTCCATTATTGCGGAGTGAAATACACTTATGGTGTCAAGATCATATCCACTTGAGATACCTAAACCACGGGTGGTGTCACTTCCGAGATTCGTGGGATGACTGATCAATCAGGTATCTCCATCATTGATATCAATCGTTATCAGTATTGATTATAGCACGGCCGGTTTTATGTTGGGCATGATTTTTAGAGCGCTTGATGCTTATATCTTCGGTGATGATAATGAAATATATCCGAAGGAAGTCAGCATTGGAGAGGTCCATCAACAAATGATGTTACATTCCAAAAACTGCGAGGGGATGACGTAATTGCTGATCGTTTCTGAGAACTAATTTTTTTAGAATTTTAGAAGCCGCGCAACGTAAATTTTTCATCGCGAAAATTTTTAAAGATCATTTTTCAAATTTTTTCTCAAATGGAATCATAATAGAAGTGGATATTAACTCCTTTTTAACGAATAGATGAATACATAACGATCAAAAATAATATCAGTAGCAAAGTGGTAAAAGGAGATGAGTCAATTTTAACTATTGACCAGTTTTCAATCAATATCTCGGAATCGAAGGGAGACGGCAAAATTTTTATTGTTATTGACATGTTTCAATGCTCGAAATGGGGCTTGGGGAGCGATTTTGCTCGTTTAATGTCGACATAAAATCGTAAATTTCAACCAATGACAGTCGTGGAATCGGAATACTCAACTAGCATTGGTTGAAATTTATGATTTTATGTCGAGATAAAACGAGGAAAATCGGTCCCCAGGTTCATATGCGACAATCATTTTTTTTGAACCCGTGCTTCCGTGGCGCAATTGGCTAGCGCGTTCGGCTGTTAACCGAAAGGTTGGTGGTTCGAGCCCACCCGGGAGCGCATTTTTTTTCATTTTTTATTTTTCTCCCCCAATGCACCCCTCTCCTCGTTCATTTAATGCTGCCTACACCGTCTCACCCCGTCTGCCCCAAACTGACACGAAAATATCGTTAGAATGTTAAAAGACCACCGAAAATTTCCCGCGCAAATTCGAACGACGCCGGTGGCGCCGGGCGCTAATGGCAAAGGGAAACATAACCTGAAATTCCAGGTAAACAAAGGCAACGCGGGCTGTTCAACATCTTCAAATAATTCCGATATTTCTGTGGATTAATTGAGGTGACTTAACGGGGTCAGTTGTTTCGATTGCGTGAAGTTTCGTGAAGTTTTTGATCATGGCTCAGCAGGCGCCAGCCCCGAAAATTAAAGATCTTCGACTACCAATGTCGAGGGTGAAGACAATTATGAAGAGTTCGCCGCACGTTGAGTCCATCGCACAGGATGGGCTGTTCTTAGTCACAAAGGCCACTGTAAGTACTTCATCGCAGTATTTTTTTCCAGGCGGAGATTAATAAAATCATTGTAAAATGTCCGGACACTTGGGATCAAAGGCGTTTCTAATGAAAGCTCTGATATTCCCCTACAAAAGTAGAAAAGCATTTCACTGGAGAAAAAATAGCCAAAGTACTTGGATATCCTTAAAGTGTAAAAAGTATAGGAATTTCAATGTATTTACTACTTTGTTTTATCGAATAAACGCCAACTGAATTCGCTGAGTTCATCCGAAATTATCGAATGTTTTGCAGGAGATGTTTATTCACTTCATGTCAGAGGAGGCCCACAAGCAATCGAAGAAGAGCTCGAGTCTGGATTACAAACACCTGGCGGAGGTGGTGCAGACGAACGAGACCCTGGAGTTCCTCAAGGAAATAATGCCGAGAAAAATAACAGTGAAGCAGTTCAAACAACTGATGGCTGAAAAAGAGGCTGCAGAGAGGTCCAGCTCAGACGAGAGTTCCACAGACTCTGACAGCGACAGCCAGAGTGACAGTGAGTCGAGCTCTGACAGTTCTAAGGACGAGGTCATGGATTCGGGGAGTGACAAGGAGAAGGATGACAAGGAGAATGGAAAGTCTGAGTCGAGTAAGAGTGAGTCCAGTGACGAGAGTGAGAGTGATCAGTAGGGACTGGAACAATTGCCTTTTCTATGATAACTGAAACTAAAATTCTCTCTCCTCTTTTAAACGATATTTGTGCTTGGAGTGTGTGAACTATTTATTTCTGGAAAGAAAGATGTCAAGCTGTGAGAGAATAAACTGTTGGAATTATTCTTCAGTGGAGTGTCACACATTTCTGCCAGTTATTAGTTTATTTTACGTCACATAAACTTGAAATAATTCCCTTTTCTAGATAATAATTAATGAGACCATTCCTATCATTTTTAATCAACATTTACGAGCAGAATATTTGATAAACGATTTATTTTGACAAAAAAAACACATTGTCCATCAAATTATAAAGAAACGAAACCTTCGAAATTATACTTAATTCTTATTTGCTTAAAACAACAATTTCCAGTCTTTCTAAACAATATGTTGATGAAAAAAATGTCTTTCGTTTTTAACCAATATTTACGGCTAGAATATCTGATAAACGATTTATTTCTGGAAGAAAAATAACATTGTCAAATTATAAAAGAAAGAAACCTTCGAAATTACACTTTATTTTCATTTGCTTGGCACAGTTATCATTTGTTAATTTATTTGATGCCATGAGAGTCTAGAACAATCGCATTTTCTAAACAATAATGGATAAGACAAAATGCCCTGCCTTCTCGAAACAATTATTGACGAGAAGAAACTTGTTTTTCATTTATAAATCATTATTTATACGTAGTATGACTGGTGAGCTGTTTATTCCTGAAAAAAAACAATGTCAAGTTGTAACAAAACAGAATCCTTGGAATCGTCCCATAAATCGCTGATACATTTGCTTGGAACAGTGAAAACGATTGAACACGTTTGTATTAGTTGTTAATTTATTTGATGTCACAGCCCAGAACAATTGCCTTTCTTAAAGTAACATGAAAGAGACAAAATTTCTGGCTTCATTCGTACGTAGAATGTCTGACAATCTACGAATTTCTGAAACAACTAAAAGAAGAACACTTCATCGACCCAAAAACTTACAAAATAAGAATGAACGAGACAAAAATTTTTGCCGTTAAAACAAATTATGAAAAAGACTAAATTTGTCTTTATTCATTCGCAGAATGTCCGATAATCCATTAATTTCTGGAAAGAACGAAAAAAAGTCAAATCATAAAAAATAAAACACTGAAAATGATACTTCATCAACCCAAAAAACTATTATAAAAATATAAATGAACGAGACAAAAATTTTTGCCTTAAAAAATGATGAAAAAGGCATAAATTTCTGAGTAGATGGACGAAATCAAATGGTAAAGAAAAAAAACCCTCAAAATTACACTTGATGAACCAAAAAAATGAGTTTATCTCCTGAAATTGCCGGTGTGACTGGTGCTGGGCCCCACGATTTTCCCCATGAGCACATCGATCACCTTCATCTCTCGCTCGGGATGGCACCGTTTCACGTGGCTGCGCGCATTGGTCAAGTGTTTCGCTTGCTTGGCACAGTAAGGACAATTGTACCTCGGTGGCACCCCACACTCGTACCTCACATGAGTGTTCAAGTTGCACCTGTGTTTAAACGTCTTGCGGCAACTTGGACACGAATTGTTCGACTCCCAATCACTGGCCACTGGCGGTGGATTTTCTGGAATATTCGACGGAAGCTCTACAACAAAAATTGACAGATGTTATTGGAGAAATGACTCGCTAAAATAATTAAAATGAACTTATGATCGACACTACAACTAAGGTATTTGTGGATGAAGAAACAAGAAACCAGGGACTACGACAGATATTTCCTTAAAACAATGTATTCAATGCCACGATATTGCTTATTATTTACAGGCACATGCTTGATGTTTCTATTATTAAAATCCCAATGAATGAAATTGACCTCAAGTATAACAATTTATTATTCTTGATGGGGTTTTGTAAACACTTTGGGTGGTGGTGGCTCCCAGCAGTCTTCATTCAACTTCTTAGCGAGGAAGTATATCTCAGCGAGTGCTACAATGAGGCCGCAGATTATTCCTAATAGTAATCTGAAGCCAAAATCAAGGCTACCCACGATGAGCTCTAGCCCTATGAAGCCAAATGCAAAGGCTGCTATCACTGAGAAGACGAACTGGGCTACAGCGATGAGTTGTTTATTAATTTCCTTCACTGAAATCAAGAAAAATCGTCAGAAAATGATTATTTCGTTTGTTTCAGATGTTTGTGGCCCTTTCACACTATAAATCATTTTAAAACATTCATACGTGAATTCGTGAGACATTAGAGTACATCTTTAAATTTAAAAAATCATAAAAAAGGAGAGAAAATTGTTAGAAATTCCTGAAATTTTGTGAGTCTTTCAATTCCTGTGGGTTTTCCTTCACCTTCTACTTCTATATCTATTTTTCTTTGTTACTACTTTGGAAATTATATCACAACGTGTCACAATTTTTATAACATTTTCTATGTTGTTAATTTCCTTCACTGAAATCAAGAAAAATCGTCAGAAAAGGATCATTTGTTTTATTCCAGATGTTTATGGCCCATTCACACTATAAATCATTTTAAAACATTCACACGTGAATTCGTGAGACAGTGAAAAACATCTTTAAACTTTTAAAATCATAAAAAGAAGACAGGAAATTACAATAAGTTCCCAAAATATTGTCAGTTTCTCAATCTTTTCAATTTATGATCCATAACCCATTTTGTTCTATTCCATCACAGGTTTTGCTTCGCCTTGCGTATCTATATCTATTTTTTTTATTTTACTTTGGAGCTAGTATCACAATGTGTCACAATTTTTATAACATTTTGGCTTATTAATTTCCTAAAATAAAAAAAAAATCGTTAGAAAAGGATTTTTTTTTTGATTCAATGTTCATGATCCTTCCACACTATAAACAATTTTAAAACATTCACACATGAATTCGTGAAACATTAAACAACATTTTTAAACAAAAAAATCATAAAAACAGAAGAGCAAATTGCAAGATATTGCTGATATTACACAAGTTTCTCAATTTCTCCCCTCAGTGGAGTCTGTTTTGGTTGACTTCTAACCCATAACTCATTCAGAGTTGTTCTCTCGCCAATAAACAAATAATGAAAAAAATTCAAAAATTCATTTCCGTCGATTCAAGGGCGTGGGACTGATATTTACTTTGGTATGAAATAGTGTCCTCTGGGTAAAATTTCCTGACGGCGTCCACCCCTTTGGTCATCGCCTCGTACTCCCTGGCCGACTGTTGAGCAGTCAATTTTTGGATTCTCGCCTCCAGCACTGGATTCCGCGGTGTGACCTTGGGCTCTGGTAGAATCACGTCCGCCCCCTCCAGAAGCTCGTGAATGTAAACTTTGGTTTCTGAATTTTCCCGGTACTCGATCAGGAAATCGTTCAGCCACTTGATGTCCTCGGTCTTCAACAGAGGTTCGGATTTGTGGGATTTCTTCAGGGCTCGCAGACCTTCTGGTGCCTCCGTCACGTTCACGTTCTTTCGGACGAAGTGAATTAGCTTCGATGGGGGCTTTATCTTTACTGAGGGATCCTCAATCTGCTCTACAGGCATAATGAGACAGAATTAGTTAGGGGGTTTGGGCTCTTATGGGGTGATGTGGAGCTTCTTCTCGAGATCAATGTAGAATTCTCGAAGTTCCTTCTCCTTCTCGGTGAATGTCTCGTCCACTTTAGTACAACGGATGCTCATATCATTGATGAACTTCTTCCAGTCCTCTTTTCTAATTGCTCGGTTTTCAGATAGCTGGATTTCCTTGAGTGAGAGAAGAGGAAAAAATGATTTTTGTTGAGTAGAGACTTCTTTTAGAAGTGGGGAACTGAATTTTCATGAGATGATTCTGTGTTTCGTTGAGATTGGGATGAAGAATGGAAATTAATTATGAAAATGATGAAATTTGAATCGAATTTTGAGGTTTTGAGATGTGAGAAGACGAGAATTCCCCAACTCACTTAAATTTTCCTAATTTCTATTAATTTTTATGGAATTATTGAAGTGAAATTTACAGTTTTCATTGAATTCTACGTAAAATGTGTGAATTTTAACTGACGAAATTCCCTAAAATTTCAGTGGAACTGTCTCTAGATAGAAATTTTCAAAAACTGTATGAGAAATATTAAATTTTCAATTTATCAATCTTCTTCCCTCTTTCTGAAATAAACGAAATTGTGCGTTCGTTATTCGATTGATCTCATGTTATTCTCAAACCACAATTCATTTGACATCTTTTTAGTTAATGGAATGGCTATATACTTTAATAAATGAATATTGTCTTTCAGCATCACTTCTAAGTTTATAAAAAATGAGATACGAAGTTCTAAACATCCACAAGAGGTGAATAGAAATATAGAAATGAAATTAAAATTCAGGGAATGAAGATGTGAAGGGCTGATGCACTTACAGTGTCAAAGTTCTCCTCTCTCCGAAGGATTCTATCGCACATACTCAGTGCAACGTCTGTATTAGCTTTCAAGCTGTGGAGGTGACAGTCACCAAGCTGTTCAGCCCTGTCGATCTGACTCTGTCCAAGTTCAGTCGAGTACTCAAGGATTTTGAACAATCTCTCTACTTCTCTGTCACCCCTCTTCTCCTATGAATAATAAAAATAATTATAACAACAGGTCATTATTTTTATCTTCATCGTAGCTATTTTAACCAATAAATTAGCAATATGCTTCCGAATGGACATTTTACCAATGATTTTCTCTCAGTACATCCTGTCATATTATTAAATTCAATTAAATTGAAACGAATATTCTAAACTGTGACTGAATTAATGCATATCATTTTTTTTATTGGAAAATATTTCCACAAAATCGATTCTTTTAATAGAAAATTCAAAAAGTCGGTATATAAATTGAATTTGAGTTAACGTTGATGGATGTCACGAGGATAAAATAAAAGAATCACTTAAATGGGGGTATGATGGCTTCTATACCTTTAAGAATGTTTTAATTAGCACACAAAAATTATTTAAAGTGAAAATAACAAAACAAAGAATAATTGAATTGAAAAATAGTTGAATGCAGCCGAAACCCCGAATTTTTGGACGACTAGGCTATTTTTTTTATTTATTAGATGTCCATCGATAGAAAAAGTAATTGATCACATGATTATGCACAAGTAATATTATTGAAAGGTGAAATAATCAGTACAATTTTCATTTTATTTATGGAATATTCAAATCAATTTGAAAACGTTCAAAAATGGATCTGTTTACCCTACAACAAAAAACCCTAAACTAAAATTTAAACAATTATTAAGCTTCCACCCGAAAACAATTAATAAAATTGTTATTATAAGCTAGAAATTATTCTGTAAATTTAATTGTGATCGACAGTAAGTGGTAGTTTGAGCAAATCCCTGAGGAATCGAATACTTATTGATTATCCATTACCTCAAATTCACGAACAAAATACGAGATTTCACCATTTACAAAGGGACGATGGACAAACAGTCTGCTCCAAATTTCGCCAATGTCTATGGTCACAAAATTTATTCAATTAAAGCATTCACGGAATATCAAGCGACGGGGGTTTACAGTCATGAATATTGCAAGTGCAAGTAATTAGATAAAATTGTTTACGCCAAATTAGGGCTGTGACACACACCTTTTATCACTGCCGCCATGTTCCGGAATGAAAATGGTCATATGGTCTCACACGTGATATGTTAACGGACATTTGCCCATGTTCAAGTGCCAGGGGAACTCGAGGGGTTGAAAGTCACTAGAAAGGAGTGGGGAAAAGTCACTTTTTACATTCGCAATAATATGAATAACTAACAACATTTTTTCTGAAAAGGAATAATTTTCTTTTCGTTTTCAAGAGTATTGTTTTTGTTTTGTAACGTGCCTAGGCTGCGGTCAGTCGACGAATTAATTCCCGAGTTACGAATGTTTTGAAAAATACTGGGTGTCTTTGTTGTGTCACGTGATGTGGGGCATTTTCAAGTCAGTCGGTTGGTTCACTCTAACCTGTGAAGACTGGCGATTCTCGTGTCGCAGTAGGCGCGAGGTTTTCGAAGGAAAGGACAGTGGTGATTATTGGTGGACGGATTTGAAGAAATTGTTTATGTTTTTGAGATGAGAACAATGAAATTATCAGTGTTGAGGAGTGGGGAGTGCTTTTGGACAGTTTTTTTGAGTGGATTGCATGAAAAATGGGGGGAATTGGTGGTTTTGGCAGTGGTGGGGTGACGGTGGAAGCCGGCGATTGTTATTTTCCGGGGGAATCGGCAAGGATTTGCGATTTTTAATTGTTGTGGAGGGTTGAGGGGCGATTTTTGGGGGCTGTCGAGTGTTTTTGGACATGACATTGAACATTGGGGGGGAGGCCACCGAAATTGGCGGGAGAAGTGGCTTGTGGAACACAAAGTCGCCAGTCTTTCGCGGAGTGCCTCAGGTCGCGTAAGTTTCCCGAGAGAAGGACAGTGATGAGTACGTGTGGATGTATTTGAAGAAGTTCTTTATATTTTTGACATGAGAACAATGAAGGGATCAGTGTTCTGAAGTGGTGAGGGCTTTTGGATATTTTTTTTTGAGGGAATAGCATGAAAAATAGAGGGAATTCGGGGTTTTGTCATTGGTGAGGTGATGCTGGAGGCCGGTGATTGCTGTTTTCCGGGGGAATCAGTGAGGATTTACCATTTTTACTTGCTGTGGAGGGTTGAGGGGGGATTTTTTGAGGCCGGCGAATGTTTTTGGACATGATTTAGAGGGGAAGCCACCGAAATTGGAGGGAGAAGTGCCTTGTGAAACACAATTCCCCGGAGAAAATCACAGCTATGACTATGTGTGGATGGATTTGAAGGTCTTCATATTTTTGAAATGAGAACAATGAAGGGATCAGTGTGGAGAAGTGGTGAGTGCTTTTGGATAGTTTTTTTGGACGGATTGCATGAGAAACGTTGGGAGTCGGCGGTTTTGTTATTGATGAGGTCGTGAAGGCCGATACTTGTTGTTTTCCGGGGGAGACAGTGAGAATTTACGATTGTTATTTGTTACGGAGGAATGAGAGATGCCAGTTGAAGGGTGTTCAGTGTTTTGGATATTTTTTGAAGGGAAAACCAGTGGGATTAGCGGGGGAAGTGGTTTGCGGAACACAGAATCGCCGGTATTCCGAGAAGTCGTGCCTCAGCGCGCGTGAGTTTCCCGGGAGAAGGAGAGTTATGCCTTTGTGGGGATGGATGCGAAGAAGTTGTTTATGTTTTGAGATGAAAACAATGAAGTACCAGTGTAGAGAGGTGGCCAGTGCATCTAAACATTTTTTTTTTCCGTGGATAGCATGAAAAATGGAGGGAATTAGTGATTTTGTTATTAGGAAGGTGATGGCGGAGGCCGGTGATTGCTGTTTTCCGGGGAATCAGTGAGGATTTACGATTTTTACTTGTTGTGGAGGATTGAGGGGCGATTTTTGGGGGCTGTCGAGTGTTTTTGGACACAATTTAGAGGGAAAGCCACCGCAATTAGCGGGAGAAGTGGCTCGTCGAACACAATATCCTCAGTTTTTCTCAGTTCGCATGAAATTCCGGACGAAAGGACAGTTATGCCTTTGTGTGAATGTATTTGAAGATGTTGTTTATGTTTTGAGATGAGAACAATGAAGTATGAGTGCCGAGAAGTGGCCAGTGCTTCTAAACAGTTTTTTTTTTGAGTGGATAGCATGAAAAATGGAGGGTATTGGCGGTTTTGTTATTGATGGGATCGTGAAGGTCAATGCTTGTTGTTTTCCGGAGGAGAGTATTTACGTGAGTATTTACGTCTTTTAGTTGTTATGGAGGAATGAGAGATGCCGGTTGGAGGGTGTTCAGTGTTTCGGACATTTTTGGAGGAAAAATCAGAGGTATTGGGGGGAGAAGTGGTTTGCGGAACACAAAATCGCCGGTCTTTTGAGAAGTCGTGCCTCAGTTCGCGTGAGCTTTCCGAGCGAAGGACCGTTGTGATTACTAGTGGACGGGTTTGAAGAAATTGTTCATGTTTTTGAGATGAGAACAATGAAGATATTAGTGTTGAGAAGTGGTGAGTGCTTTACCAGAGTTCATAACAGAGATGTCAGACAAGATATGAATGTGTGATGTGTGTGTCCTATGAATGTTTGTTGTTGTGTCGTCTGCACTATATTTTGACCCCGGCTCCTCAATAATAGGCGACGAAGAGAGTGAAAGTGTAGGGTAGGGTAAAACGGACACTTTTGCCTTTTTTTGAAATATTCATGACGTGTTGAATTGTTCATGAGATGGAATAATTTTATTTTCCAATTGAAAAACAATGATTCCTCTTTGTGATGAGCTTAGCCTGAGCTCAATTGATAAATCTGTTTCTGAGTTATGAATATTTTTTAAAAAGTCAAAATTGTCCATTTTACCCTACTCTCCCCTAATAAATGTGCAACAAGTGTCATTTTTTAAGAAATTATATATATCTTGTAGTGATAATGTGATGGTTCAGTGATAATATTGCTAGTGAATAAAAACAGTAAGTGAACCCGTGCATTACCAAAGGATACACCACCGGGAGCTCCGAGTCTGCAGATCGGTGAGTGATTTTACCAGTTTTTCATTCAGGAACCAATAATCGACTCAACGAACCCCGATTTCCACACACAGGTGCCCCCTTAGAACTAGACCGAAATGAGGAGCAAACGACTTATATAATTTTCTTGAAAATTTATTTTGAAAAAAGTCAAGTACACAATCAGTGTGTATAAATATTCTCTTACAAAAATCATCGAGGCAAGATGCAAGGCACATGGTACACCCCTAACATTAGCGAAAGTCTAGAAAAATGTTTATGTACAATGTTCCTCAGCTCCATTGCACTGCAAGCCTCCCCATAAATTCCATTTTGAACCCCATCGGTTTAAGATACATTATATTTACATATCTGTGAACAATCGCGGCCGCAAATTCACCAGTTTGATTAATTCCAATCTCATTATGCTAAATCGATCATAAAAATACAATTTTACAAATTTTATATACAATTTATCCTCTCAACGAGATCGGCCGCGCGTGCTGCGCACGCGCCTTCTCATCTCCACACGTAGTGACACTTCGGGTTCATATCAGTCTTACGTTTACGCTTATTCGAGATTTTCGAGATCGATTTCCTTTCTCCTTTTTACGATAGGATATTTCGGGATCGATTTCTTTTCTCCTTTTTACAATAGGATACTTTTGAGAGTTCTGAATAGCCCGATGCTCAAATAGCTGGAATCCCCGTTCACCCGGCTAAAAAATTCGATTTTGGCAAAAGTCGACTTTCTCCCTGGAAAACCCGAAAATCTGATCCTTTGGGTGGGGCAAAAAAAACGGTTTCTCAGTTTTCACTTTTTCCACATACTTTTGACAGTTCTGACTAGCCCGGCGCTTAAATAGTTGGAATCAACGTTCACCCGGCTAAAAAATTAAATTTAGCTGAAAGTCGACTTTCCCCCTGGAAAACGGAAAATCCGACCCTTTGAAAATCTGAAAAAAAAAACTTTTCCAGTTTTTACTTTTCCCACATACTTTTGACAGTTCTGACTAGCCCGTCGCTCAAATAGTTGGAATCCCCGTTCACCCGGCTAAAAAATTCGATTTTGGCAAAAGTCGACTTTCCCCCTGGAAAAATCCAAGATCTGACCCTTTGACCCTTGTGACCCTTCGACCGCCTTTCCCCCTGAACAAATCCAAGATCTGACACTTGGGCCCCCGGTGAGAAATTTTTTTTTTCAGTTTTCACTTTTTCCACATACTTTTGAGAGTTCTGAATAGCCCATCGCTTAAATAGTTGGAATCAACGTTCACCCGGCTAAAAAATTCGATTTTGGCGAAAGTCGACTTTCCCCCTGGAAAAAAGGAAAATCTGACCCTTTGAAAATCTGAAAAAAAATATTTTTTCAGTTTACACTTTTTCCACATACTTTTGAGAGTTCTGAATAGCCCATCGCTTAAATAGCTGGAATCTCCGTTCACCCGGCTAAAAAATTCGATTTTGGCGAAAGTCGACTTTCCCCCTGGCATCACTCACAACTGGACTAAAATTAAAAAAACAAACAACTCATAGAATTTTCTTGAAAATTTATTTGAAAAAAAGTTAAGTACACAATCGGTGTATATAAATATTCTTTTATAAAAGTCATCGAGGCAAGATGCAAGGCACATGATACACCCCTAACATTAAGGAAAATCTAGAAAAATGTTTATGTACAATGTCCCTCAGCTCCGTTGCACTGCAAGCCTCCCCATAAATTCCATTTTAAACCCCATCAGTTTAAGATACATAATATTTACATATCTGTGAACCATCGCGCCCGCAAATTCCCCAATTTTATTAATTCCAATCTCATTATGCTAAACCAACCATAAAAATACAATTTTACAAATTTTATATACAATTTATCCTCTCAATCCCTCGTCAATCAAAAACGCAGTTTAATATTTGATAAAAAATCTTACGTTGCACAACCAAAAGTATCACCTCCATAATTTCTATTCAGGCACTTGATTCACCGGTGTCTCCCCATTCCAGTGTTTTCCAAAATCGAATTATAATTGCTTTAAACGTAGTAATTAGACCTACGACTACATGAAAAATGAGTCAATACTGTTAGCTAAAGCAGCGATACGGCTTCTAGCGATCTATTGAGAAAAAAAAACATCTTGAGAACCTAGTGCAAGCCACAGAGTTCCTCGTTCGATAATACTCGAGAGTGATGGGTCTGACATCCCCGAAACAATGATCATTGAATCTACAGTACTATTTACACATCGAGGAACATCATTTACGGTTTTATAATTAATATCATGTAATTAATTCGTCTCCCAGAGCTGCCTACAGGATCACTCAAATAATCGTTAATAATCTATAAAAACAAGTCTTGTGTTGTGTCATTATTGAACTTTGAGTCAGTAATCTCTCAGTTACTCGCGAATAAATAGGAGAATGGCTTATCGTAGGAAGGATTATTGATTTCAGAGATGATGATCGATGGGTCCTGATGATGCATCACTCCTGACAGCATGGGCATTTGGTCCACTGCCAGCTGGTAGCTCGTTAGCACTCGTGTTGTTGTTCTGGCCATTAACGAAAGACGTCATCTCCATCGATGCATATTGTCCGCTCTGTTCAGAAACATGCGTGTTGTGTTGTTGTTTCGTTCGCTGATTTACTCAGATCTAGTAGAGGGAGGCGTGTAGGCATAGTAACGTACCGTGTGTAACGTGTTGTCGTGTTTCATTTTTTTTTCTTTTTTTTTTTTTTAATTTTATTGGAGAAAAATTTAAGAGAGAATTCAAAGCTCGAGGAAGAGAGTTGTCAAAGCTGGAGAGTCATCTCGGGTGAATTATAACTTTTAGCAGAGAAGTGAAGCGGGTCTTGTTAGGATTGACTCTCGGGTTTTGAAGGCTTTTTCAGCGATATGAAATTACGAACCTTAGGCAGGGAATTCATGTTATTCGTGGCTTGAGTCGTCTCTGACGTGTCGAGAACAGCTAGGGGATTCGATGTTATGTTGATCTTTGAGTCCGTGACTCCACCGTTCAGCACTCGGCCATTCGTCATGTGTTTTCCTGAGTATTCGAGTGATTAGTCATTAGTTGTATTGGAAAAATGGAAATTTCCGTTGTCATTTTCAAACAGCTTTGGTGAATAGCTCGAGATTGAAAGCAGATGAAACGTTTTCAAAGGGACGTTTTCCGCAATTTTCGTCATAAATCTTATGAAGCTGAAACTAGCGAAAGATTCGACAGCAGAAGATTTGTCTTAGGCGAATCTAGGGGTGAACAAATGTTTTTAAGTAATGCACAAACTCCCCGAGTGGAAATTTTAGTCAGGTCTTGATCAGACACCCTATAGTTTTTGGATTTTCCACTAGGGTCTTTTGCACTTAAAAATCATTTGTGCATGTGATTATTTGACTCTCCTACACTTAAATATCCGCTAAATTGAATTTTTCGCTGACGAATATTCTGCTAGTTTCAGCTTCATAAAAATCTTGACGAAAATTTCTCTATCGCCCTGAAAATTCCAAGACTTTCCAAAATTCATTTCAAAAGAATCCTATCTATACACTTTATTATCGCTGTTTTTTTTGCAATTTTTGGCAATTGTTTTTCAATTTCCTCGGCCGAAAAACTTCTTCTAAAAATTTCCTATTCCCCTCAAATCCAAAGCTGTTCATGAAAAAACAGACAAATTTCTTCATAAAAATGAACCTGAAACTAGCGGAAGATTCAATTTAGGGAATGTTTAAAGGTGTGCGAGTCAACCAATCACATGTACAAATGTTTTTCAAGTGCGAAAAATTCAACATGATTGAAAAATATTCGCACACCTCTAGCTGTGCCTCAACCGCACCTTCCGCTGGCGAATCTTTCGCAAGTTTCCGCTTCATTCCATAAAATCCTTCAACTCACCTTGATTCTGGGATGCATCTCGATTTTGCTTAATACTGCTTCTCTTATAAATAACGACAATGGCCCCCATGACCCCCAGCAGAGTAGCTCCCCCCAGTGCCCCACCAATAATGGCATAAAGACTGCCACTCTGTCCACTCCCAGTGCTCTTGGGCGCATTATCAGGCACAGCAGTCTCCACCCTCGGTGGTTCCGTCACAGCCTTCAGAGTCTTCTCCCTGATGATCTTGGAGAACTCCGAAGCTGCCCCCACCGAGAAGCTCTGGACCTTGAACTCATACGTTGTGTCAGGCTGAAGATGAGAAATAGTGATGTTGGTCGAGTTTTTTCCCTCAACAGTTGTCTTGATGTAGTCCCCAGCTGTTGTCGAGGCCCTGTGGTAGATGTAGAAGCCATCGATGTCCACAGACCTGTCGGGATTTTGCCAGATGAGAAGAACCCTGTCAGCCCCAAGAGCCTCAGTATTCGTCAACAAGGGAATTGGCATTTTGTTCGTCTCAAAACCCTCCATCCTCGTCAGATGAAATTTGACAGAATTTGGACTCAATTTATTGTCGTGATTGGAGTAGACAGCGGCTATTCGGAAACGATAGAAGCTGTTTGGCTGGAGTTCAGGGACTTCGAAGGACCTCACGTGATTGGGTATTTCCATGTTGGAGGTCATCCACTTGGACTGCTTACTACTGGCTTTGGAGCCGAACTCTTTGTACTGAACCTTGAAGAATTGGATGGGGAGACCAGTGTTCTCAGGGACTGACCAGCGAACCATCACTGAGACGTCCGAGAGTCGGGTTACGTTGGGCTGATTTGGGGGGAAGAGAACAGTTCCTCGTCGGTGGCCCTCCTTGTTCTTCCTCTTGCCACCCATTCTTATGTGCTTGTGCACACCCCCGGGTATTCCGTGGCCCTCCTGCTTCGAGTGGTCTCCACTGCCTCCGGGGTGCTGCTTGGGGTTCACACGGAGGAGATTGTAACCCGAGTGGGAGCCGTACTCGTTACTAGCGACACACTGGACGATACCGGCGTGCTTCTTCTCGACGGATGACACGAAGAGGGTTGAACCTTTACTCTCGATGTTGGGACTCCTCTGGAGGGGCTCGCCGTTTATCAACCAGTCGATGGTGGGCTCTGGCTGACCTGATGTCATGCAGGAGAGCTCGAGCTCACCGCCTTCGGAGAATGTCGACGCCTTCGGGAAGCGCGTCACTCGCGGTGCCTCCACCACCTGAAATTAGGGCCAGTGGGTGTGTCCAAAAGAATTTCCGACTTACATTGATACTAAGTGGAATTTAAAAATAGTAAAATAATTGGTAATCTCAATTCTCAATTGATGATTTATTAAGTATTCAATCATGTGGAACTGTAAATGTTCTGTTTAGTAAATAATACTAAGTTTCTCGGGGAATTCCGGTCACTCAAGTAATCGTCAATCTTATTAATTCAATTACTGATTAATGCGCCATTCGGAATTTGAATATTTAAATTGATAATTACTTTGATAATTAAAGTTTAAGAGGTGTTTCGTGATCTTTTCTAGTTGTCAATATGTTCACTTATAAATGAAGATATTGAAGACATTTTAACGGTAATTATAATTTATGGATATGGCTATCCCTGGATTATTGTTGAGAGGGATTTTTGAAAATTTTGGACGATGAATTTTTGGGAATTGAAATTTCAAATTTCATTGAAAAATGAATGAAATTTCACATTGTTCAGAAGCACGGAAACAAGAATTTCACAATCATTTGAATTTTCAATTAATTGCGATTCGAAAATATATGAATTTTTCTTATCTCTATTAATTTTCATAAAATAATCGAACTAAATTTGTAGATTCTATTCATTTTTCCATGAAATTGTGAATTTTCAATCACGAAATTCCTTGAAATTTCAATAAAATCATGTGATGAAATTTCTGAAGAATTTGAAGAAGCGATCAAAAAAGCTCTAATTGATTATTTTCATTCAATTCATTTCATTTTCATATTTTTCGCCCATCTTGTGGCATTTCAATTTTCTTCAAGACAAGATGACTTTAAAATTTCTTCTCTTATTCTCTCCACTTACTACTTTAAAGTTTAAACTCTCAGAAATACATTGAAAATTGTGACAAATTCTCTACAAACCTTCAAGATAATCACAGATTCAATTTTGTGAACGCCTGAAGTCCACATGCAGTGGTACTCCCCTCGATCCTGTGGTTGGACATTAGTCAGGACTAATCCTGCAGGTGTGTACTGAGATCCCGAGGGTAGGTTGCCTACAAGTCTCGACCAGGTGACCATTGGTATCGGATACGCTGCGCCGAAGCACTCGAGGGTGACGTTCCTTCCTCGAAGAACCTTGTACTCAGTCTGTGGTTGTTTAACAAAAAATGGGGGAACGATTCTCTCGTCTTTGTGAATGGTCAGTTTTGTCTTGTGATTACTCCGGACTGTCAGGCCGGCGAATTCGTTGTAAGCTGTACAGTGGTAGCTCCCGGAGTCTGAGGGTTGAGCGTTCTCCAGGACTATTGTTTTACCGCCGGCTAGATTCGTGGGTCTTATGGAGATGTCGTCTTTGAAGAACAGAACTGTTGGATCGGGGGAGGAGAAGGGAACGGGGCAGGTTATGGGAACTGTGTTGCCAGATGGGACCTTTATCTCTACGTCTGATTTGTCGCTAAATTGATCGATCTTCGCTAGGCTCAGGCGACCTGAATCCGAGGCTAGCCCACTTGTACCTGAAATAGATCGATTGGGGGTTACATAGAGATAGAAATACATTCAATGGGAGATCGAACGATCTAATATCACAAAATTGCGTATCTTTTCCGTTCCGTAATTTTTACCTGAATCTCCCGTGAAAAATTACGATACCGTCTCTTAAATTTTCTGAGTAGATTCCGTAACTGGCGAGCGAACTGTTAGTTCCGTAATTTTTACTGAACATTTCTCTCCGTGTGAGAGAAAAAATGACCACCCTTTACTATTTTTCAATTTCTTCCAATTTGAGATTTTTTTAGGTAAAATAATTTGGAATAATTGGAATAATCATTCCACAATTCAACATAATTGTATTATTTGAAGATGGACATGGACCGTCTGGGAATGATTGGCAAAAGTAATTTATAGAATTAAAGAATATAATTAAATGAATATGATTAAAGAATGTAATTAAAGAAAATAATTCCTCGGCAAAAGTAATTTTTTTTGGCCGTGACTATTCGCACCATTGCATGAATCACTCCCGTACACTCCATACACTCCACGCATGCGTGAAGTTTGTGTGTTTCACGCAGCCAAATTTTCATACTGCTGTGTATGTTGAAATTGTGTATTGCTGAAAACCCGAGTTGAAGACCCGCGTTTGTAGCAAAGATGTCAGACAAGATATGAATGTTTTTTTGAGCTCAAACGAAAGAGCGGGTCGAGAAATGGCGTGCTAGGACCTCTAAAGATGGTTTTGAACCAGGGGAGACTCCTAGACCCCAATGATCTATACATACTCCTAGACCCCATTGTCCTCCTAGACAATGATGTCACAACTGTGCTGTTCAATTGAAAACAGACATCATCTTTAGAGATATTTGTCATGTTTAGAGGCTCTAGCACGTCATTTCTCGACCCGCTCTTTCATTTGAGCCAAAAAAAAACATTCATATCTTGTCTGACATCTCTGCTACAAACTCTGGTCATCAACTCTGGTTTTCAGTTGAAATTGGAATTGTTAATTTACACAATAATAGGAGTGCATTGACGATTTTTTCTTTACTCGCAAAAATCTTCAAACAATTTGCTACCGATTGGTGATAAAATTTTTTGGAAATAATGAAGTAGGGGGGATAACGCCTTTTTTTTCAGGGGTGATTTTTCAAAATTTTATTTAAAAAAAAGTCCTAACTAGCAAATGTTTTTTATTAGCTCGCAATTTTTTTCAAAACTACTTCAATGAGGAAAAAAATTAAAATTTGGAATATCTATACATGAGGGGCTAATTGATCGGATCTCATAGTTTCCGAGATTATCGCGAAAAACGAAAGTGCCAAAAAAAATTAATTTAGTTTATCTTGTATAAGGTCTAGGAAGTGGAAAAATGCAATTCTGAGCCATCCACTTGCCTATAGGGCACCCAAATTTGGTTTTAAGGCTCTATCTCTCATAGTTTCCGAGATAATCGCGAAAAACGAAA